TGTGTGCCCCATGGTTCCCATGCCCGTGCCTTGGTTCAGGGTGTTCTCTTCGCCGGGAACGTGCTTCCTCTCAACGCATCACACCTGGCGTACCCATCTTGCCAGAATCAGCTCAGGCATCACTTCCTCCAGGAAGCCTCATTCCAGGACTCACATGTCCTTTCTCCCCTCCCCCCAATTAAGTAGCTGTTCCTTGCGGTGGCTATTCCCTCCTTCCACCTTAGGGTACAGCTTTCTACCCGTGTCTCCTTCACCGAACTAGGAGCATGTTGAGGAAAGGAAGTTTGCCTGTTTCCTCTTTGGGTTTCTTCTACCTCCCCACACCTTGCACTTGGTAAGCAGGCGCTAATTAGCAGTCTAATGTGTGGGTTAATACATCAGTCAGCCCGTTGTCAGCTGAATGAACAGCCTCCACTCAGGACAAGTGCCTGCTCCCATTCCCCTCCTCACTGCCCCCCACCTCGTCGTCTGACTTCTCTCACCAAGCAGCCCGAATCAGCTCTCCGCGGCTCCTCACTGGCCTGCAGCCCAAGTAGGCATCTCCCTGTATCATGGCGGTCACCAACGACATCATCATCCACCAGAAAAACCAATGCCGGGGTGCTCCTGGTGGCGCAGTGGTTAAGAATGTCTGCCAGTGCAGGGGACACGGGTTTGAGCCCTGGTCCGGGAAGATCCCACATGCCGCAGAGCAACTAAGCCCATGCGCCACAACTACTGAGCCTGCGCTCTAGAGCCCGTGAGCCACAACTGCTGAAGCCCGCGCGCCGCGCCTAGATCCCATGCTCCGCAATAAGAGAAGCTGCCACAATGAGAAGCCCGCGCACCGCAGCGAAGAGTACCCCAGCTCACTGTGACTAGAAAAAGCCCGTGTGCAGCAAGAAATACCCAGTGCAGCCAAAAATAAATAAATTTTTAAAAAATTATTTTAAAAAAGCCAACTTTATCATAAACGAGTCTTATTTGAAATAATTGTGCAGGATCCCTGGTGGAGTTTCATAAGCGTCTTCCTTCTGCTTGAGAGAAGGTGATGACATGGTGAGGAAGACACCATGTCCTCTGGAAGACTTTCTGCTAAGGCTTCGGGACACTCCCTGACATGGAGTCAGTTTGGAGATGCTGGCATAGGGCCCCCCTGAGACTGAGAACCATGTGCATTGGCTGTGAATGACCATTATGAGGCTCAGCGGAGGGACTTGACTCAGAGCCCCTCTCCTAGGCAGTGGGGTCCCTGGCCCACCCTGTCCTCCAACTGCCACTCCCCTAACTGTCGCTTAGAACTTTGCTTCTCAGTACCCTTGCCTGTGCCTACCTGTCCTTTAGACGACTGCTGGCTTAGGAGCTGGGAAAGCTTTTTGAGGACCAGGTGAAAGCCACATTTTGTGATTCAGGCATTTGCCAACTCTAGTTTTATAAGGAAAACTCAGCTGTCTTTGATTTTTGTTTATTTGGTTTTGGTTTTGAGCACTCTAAAATCTTGTTGCCTCTCCCCCTTCTGATTTGCAGGACGGCTGGGGAAGAAACCAACTTGGTTGCTTGAGTATCTTTTAATCCTTCTCAGCTGTGTGTGAAGACGGCTTTCCTCAGAGGAGTTCCAGATTTTATCAAAAAAAGAAATAATTATTTTACTCTTCAAAATGTAAATATATTTTTAATATAAATAATAAATGCTCATTATAAAAATTCATACAATTCTGCTGTGATAGAGATAACCCATTCCTCTGATGTTGGATATTTAGCCTGTTTTAAATTTTTTGCAGTTACAAACAATGAATGATGTAATGAACTTCCTTACACGTGTATTGTTGCCTGTTTGTGTGAGTAGTTTTATGGGATAAATTCCTTAAAATGTAACTGTTGGGTCTAACGATTGATGTTGCCAGATTACTCACCCAAAAAAGTTTACACACCTGCCGCCTCCCGTGAAGTTATCTCAGGGCTGACTTAGCCACTGGACACAGAAGGCACGTTGCCTAGGGCCCCGAATAGCTTTAGGGGTCATGAAAACTTCTTAATTTCTTTTAAAATCAGAAGAAAAAACCGAATATAATAATAATGAATGTATAATATACAGTGAATCCAGCCTGGATTATATTTTTTATACTAATGAAGCCATAAAATGTGCTTTTTCCTATTTTATTATGGAGATGGGACCTATGAAGGCAAATGCATGTAAGGCCCCTACAAGTCATAATGTGGTCCTGGCTTATCCATTTCTCCACACCCTTGCAACTCTGAGAATTCTTTTTAGTTTTTGCCAGTCTTTTATGCAAAACAAACAACAAAAAAAGACGTTTCATGATTGTTTTTCTTTTCCTTGGTTATTTATGAGATGTGGTCTCCTAAGTTGATTGACCATTTAAATTTTCTTTATGAATTGCCTATTTATGCTCCTTTCTCATCTTTCTATTGAGTTGCTCATCTTTTCCTTGTTAAAAAAGTTCTTTTTACATTATAATATTGTAAATTTTATTTTCAGAATTTTGCATTTCAGATTTATTGCTATCTTTTTATGATGATGTTTAAAGTATTCCTGTACCCCAAATCTGGCAAGAATTTGTTACATGGTATCATTCTTACAAAGGCTTACACAAATGTTCATTGATATTTTCTTCTATGGCTATTAATATGTATGATAATATCTTTAATTCATCTGCAAGGCATTTTTGTAAAAGATGTGAAATAACTATTAAACTTTCTTTTCCAAGCATAGCTAATTGTTCCAACACCATGAGACAATAGAAATGCCACCTTTACCAAATATTAATCTCTTATTATATATATGAGTCTATTTCTTGAATCTCGTCCATCCTGTTGATCCATTTATCGGTTGCCCTGCCAGCACCACACTTTTAATTATTTAGCTTAATTATATTTTGGTCTCTGATTAGGTATATCACTATTCTCCCTCTTCCCCATAATCCTTCTCTTTCAATTTTTGTCTTGATTATTCTCACACATTTGCTCTTTCTGATGAGTTACGTTTTCAAGTGCTGAATTAAAAACTCCATAAGTTTTGTAAAATTTAGAGATTAATTTGAGGAGTACGGGGCAATTTTATAAAACAGCGTCTGCATCCCCAGGCGTGTGGTATCTTGTTCAGACCTTCTTCAGACGCCATTCCCAGCTGGTCCTCAGTTTGTCCAAGCCCTTGCCATCTCAGCAATCTCCTCAGACTCCTCCATGGCTCTCTTTGTGGGACAGGAGGTCAGTAGCAGGGGCTTCCCTGAGTCTTCATGTCCCCAGGAGGTTAACGGGGTCCTTTTTCTTTGCCATTTTTGGTCTGCTTGGTACTGGTTTTCTGAGAACTATGTTCTGCTGCAAAGCGCTGGGGCAAAGCTCATCATAATCTCTTACCTGGATTTCTGGCCTCTTTGCTTCCACTTTTGCTTACTCTGGCCCATTTTCCACACTCGTGCCTCGTGTAATCTTTCTAGTCAGATCCCCATGGCCTCCCACTGGAAGACCTTCAGTGATTCCCCATTGTATTAATTATTCATTGCTGCTGTAAAAAATTACTACAAATGTAACACCTTAACACAACACAAATTTATTATCTTACAGCTCTGGAAGTCAGAAGTCCGAAATCAGTTTCAGTGGGCTAAAATCAAGGTGTCAGCAGGGCTGTATTCTTTTCTGGAAGCTCTAGGGGAGAATACATTTCCTTACCTTTTCTGGGGGGGGGGCGCGGTACGCGGGCCTCTCACTGCCGTGGCCTCTCCCGTTGCAGAGCACAGGCTCCGGACGCGCAGGCTCAGCAGCCATGGCCCACGGGCCCAGACGCTCCGCGGCATGTGGGATCTTCCCGGACCGGGGCACGAACCCGTGTCCCCTGCATCGGCAGGCGGACTCTCAACCACTGCGCCACCAGGGAAGCCCCATTCCTTACCTTTTCCGACTTCTACAGGCCTCCCGCATTTCTTGGCTCATGGCCCCTTCCTCCATCCTTAAAAACAGCCACTGTATCACTCTGCCCTATGTTTCTCTTGTCACATCTTCTCTGATGCTGATCCTCCTGCCTCTTATAAGTATGGTCATAAGGACCCTTGTGATTCGACTGGGCCCATCCAGTTGGTCCAGGATCATATTCCCACCTCAGAGTCCCTAACTTCATCACATCGGCAATGTTGCTTTTGCCATATGGAGTAACACGTTCACAGGTTCAGGGATGAGGATGTGAACATCTTTGGGGGACCACTATTCAGTCATGGTTTGGGGTGAACTTGGCTTGCCAGCCCTGCAGTGACTGGCCCCCACTACTCTCCTGTCTAAACTCACTCTGCTTTCCCTTTTGAACTCCCTACTCCAGCCACATGAACTTCTTTCAGTTTCTGGAGCCTGCCCTCTCTGCTTCCTCCAGTCCTGGTCCAGGCTGATTCCTCTGCCTGAGAAAACCTTTCCCTACCTCTTCACCTGACTAACTCCTCTTCATCTTCCAGCCTTGGCTTAAACCTCACTTTCTCTGGAAGGTTTGGACAACCTTTTCTACTCCCTGCATCTTCTCCCAGACTTTTCTGCTCTCATAACATCCTCCATTGCTTCTGGCCCTGCTTATACTGCCTTTTATATTATTGCTTATTTGATTATCTTCTCTCCCAAAATGTAAGCTCTTTGAGGGCAAAGGTGACAAGGGCAGCTCCACACAAGAGGGAGTTTATTAACTCCTTGCAGAATGAATTCATAAACATTAATTTCATAATAGGATAAAAGTTATTATACTCTGCAGGTCTCATATTAAAAGTATTTGTGGGCTTCCCTGGTGGTGCAGTGGTTGACAGTCCGCCTGCCGATGCATGGGATGCGGGTTCGTGCCCCGGTCTGGGAGGATCCCACAGGCCGCGGAGCAGCTGGGCCCGTGAGCCATGGCCGCTGAGCCTGCGCGTCCGGAGCCTGTGCTCCGCAATGGGAGAGGCCACAATAGTGAGAGGCCCACGTACTGTAAAAAAAAAAAAAAAAAAAAAAGTATTTGTTCATCATTCATTCAACAAATATGTGTTGAGCACTGACTTGGGAAGTACTGAACCAAGGAGTTGAAATTAAGAAAAAAAATCATCTAATGTTATGAAGATGCGAAGGTTGTAGTGGTATGATCATAAGGACCTGAATAACAATTTTCCCTTTCTAGGAAAATGGACTTGGAGGTCAGTGAACCAATAGACTTTAGTTCTGGAGATCATCAACATCTGGTTCGGAAAGCAGTAGATGATACTATCCAGAGCAAGTCTGCTCGGTCCTACGGAATTTCATCTTCAACTCATGGGCCACAACAAACTCATGGGAATCCACGCTCCAAAGCTGGTGAGCGAGGGGATACCTATGTGGTAGAAATTTCAGCAGAGACCACAACAGAGGACAGCAATCCTTTATCTGGCCCATTCTCAGAAGCAGCTATCCGCAGAGGTGAGAATAAAGAAATGACCTTTTCGGAAGAGAAAAGTTCTCTTAAAATGTTTACACAGGGTGGATTGTAGGATTTAATTTTGCTTTTAGTTTTTTCCCAGTCATGCTTTACCATGAAACATGACATAGGGCTGCAATAACAGATGGTCCCCAAGTTTTCCAGGGCATTCATAAATTCATGATACACATATTATGGTGAATAACTTGTGGTTTTCTTAGGAAACGTGAATTAGTCATTGAACGTTCTTGCCTACATACAAGATGATACCATGATATTGGCTTAAGTTTTAAACAATACTAATTCAGAGCCCTACATATTAATTCTGTATAGGAAATACATTCAGCTGTAACAGAAGTCCGAAAAACTGTGGCTTAAATAAATGAGAATTTTTTTTCTTTCATGAAATACGAAGTTGGAAGGTAGGCAATTCAAGGCAAAAGCTTAGGTCCCCGGTGAACACTCTGCCACCTTTATGCCTTCTTAGGACCTGGACAACTTGAAGATGGACTGTGAACTTTGAATCTCATTGCTGTCTCCCTGTGGCCCTCACCCTCTACCTTGTGGCTGGAAAGAGGCCTTCTGGAGCTCTTAGTTGGCAGCTGAAGCTGCAATGGCCATTATGACTCCCTGACATGGATGGCAGTTTGTGTTGGTTGTTGGCTCTTTTCTTGTGGCTTGAGCTTCTCATCACATGGGGCTGGGTCCGAAGAAGAGGTAGACCAGATGGACAAGCCCCAGTGTGTAAGCATTTATCAAGTCTCTATTAATCAAACCAGTGCTAATGTCTCACTGGCCAACATGTCATGTGGCCAAGCCCAGCGTCAATGTGGGAGGGCACTCCACAGGTTTTGCCCAATTTAAATTCTTACTTGTCTTCTTGTAATTGGATTGTAAGTGTTCTTTATGTATTAGATCCCTTTTCAGATACATGATACGCAAATATTTTCTGCCAGTTTGTGGGTTTTCTTTTACTTTCTGAAGGTGTCATTTGAAGCACAAAGCTTTTACTTTTGATGAAATCAATTTATTTGTTTTTTTTTCTTTGCTTGTGTTTTAGGTATCATATCTAAAAAAATCATTGCCTAATCCATGCTCACAAAGATTTACACCTATGCTTTCTTCCAAGAATTATATCTTAGGTTTATGTCTATGATCCATGTTTAACTAGTTAACTTTTGTGTATGTATGATATGAGAAAGGGGCTCAAATTTATCATTTTATACGTGTATGTCCAATTGTCCCAGCACAAGTTGTTGAAAAGACTCATCTTTCTCCATTGAATTGTTCTAGTATGTTTGTTAGAAATCAATTGACCATATTTGTAGGATTGACCACAAATGTAAGGGACTATTTTAGGGCTTTCAATTCTACTTCGTTGATCTATATGTCTAGTCTTATGTGGCTGGACCACATTTAACATCTATTCCCTCACAGTCCTTGATACATACTAGATGTGAATTTAATGTTAAGTAAGTGGATATTTTAATGTAGGCAGCACACATATGTTCTGGCATTTTTATTAAGATAGCTCAGTCCTATTTCTTTGTTGTTACACTTCAAATGCACAGAAACTGCCCAGCAGAAGGACACAGTTGACAATCCTATAAGTCAACTTTAAGCAGCATTCTTTCTTTTTTTTTCTTTTAAAACTGGGATAAGGCCACAAAAAAGTAAATGGTCATCACTGGTGTCATATTCCAAGGGCTCCAGGAAAACCTGTGTAGTCAGCTGGAAGTAAGCAAACAGAGATGCCAACATGCTCTGCACTCTGCTTTGGCACGCTATTGTCTTGGAACTCCTTGGTCATACTTAACAATTCGTCAGGTTATCAAGTTTCTGCACAAGCAGGAGGGAAGGGAGTTGCTAAAGGCAGGGAGGATAGAGAGAAAAGTGGTGGAGAAGCTCTGCAAACTCCCTGCAGCCCAAGTCCCTCTGCAGAGGGGTAAACGCCCTCTCCCTCGGTAGTTCTGAGGGCATCACTGGGCTCCATCTATGCAGGGGTGCAGCTGAATCCCTAATGATGGGTTTGCAACATTCTGAGACTTTCAGGTCACTTTTGGTCCTAAGGAGGATGGGGTGTCCATAATAAGGAATTAAATCCCTGAGTTTGGTCTTTAAAATTTGGGGGCTTTCATGGATAAACCCTCAGATCTTCAATAAAATGCCTCTAACAGTCTGGACTGAGTCTTTTCCGAGAGTTCTGCAGAGCTGTATTGTTGTAACTCTATTGGCCAACTCTAAATTAGCACTCCCTTTCCTATCATCAAAAAAATCAGAGGAAAATTTTCTTTCATTAAGTGTCAAAAATAGGTAATTACATTTATATTTTTACTTTTGAATATCGTGTCATAAAAATAAGCTTTCTGTCTCCTCAGCTTTCATCGTAAAAGTGTTCTTCCTCCTGTCAGTTCAGCTGCTGATCACTGGGGCAATCATCAGCCTGTTTCTTTTCTGGTAAGTCTTTATTACTGATGTAAATTAAGTATTAAGCTGCCCATATTAATTCTCACTGAATAGCTCAATTTAATTTTTATCATTAAAAGATTATCTATTTTTCCTTAATCATTCATAGGATATAATATTTCTGTCGCTTTGTTTTTCTGAGGCAACTTCTAGACGAAGGTGTTGGTAGATTTCTGGAGTTTAACTTCCTAAGCTAAGAATTTTCCCTTATTTTGGGCACTATTTTCTTTTTTATTTTCGCCAAGCTATTTCCACAGATAAAATTGGGTAAAGGAAGAAAGGTGAGACTATGGAGGCCTTGGAGGCTGGAGCTCTGTTAAATGCAGAAATTATTTCAGGGACTATGATCCGTCACGGCTTAAACCCATCCTTTGAAAATCTGTGTTTACAAACAAACATATGAGAATTTGATTACTTTTGCTTTGGGTACATATCAATCTCAGTATTTTTTAAAATTAAAACTTCACTAGGACATTTGCATTATCCAAATTTCACTTACAGCTTAAGATTGTGCTTTTTTGTGAATCTATTTTAAGAAGCAAGATACAGTTTTATGTTTTACTGTTTCCTTTCCCATCTGTCATTGTCAACCATTTAGGGTTTCCCCCCTTTCTTCTCATGAGATTGTTTAACGTCTACTTAAATATTACACTAGTTAGCAAAATAAGCTACTTATTGTGTAAAACTATTATTTTTTTAACCAGGAAGGCTTTAAGAGTTTGGGTGGTCAAGAATCCCTGGTTCACCTACGCACTCTTGTAAGTATTATTGGATTAAATTAAAAGTTTTTTCCACTAGCTATTGATTGATGTCCTTATTAAAAATTAGGTAAAGGTATAACATTCTTTTTTTAAATTAATTAATTAATTAATTTTTGGCTGTGTTGGGTCTTTGTTGCTACACGTGGGCTTTCTGTAGTTGCGGCAAGTTGGGGCTACTCATCATTGTGGTGCGTGGGCTTCTCATTGCGGTGGCTTCTCTTGTTGCAGAGCACGGGCTCTAGGCACATAGGTTTCAGTAGCTGTGGCATGCAGGCTCAGTAACTGTGGCTCGCGGGCTGTAGAGCACAGGCTCAGTAGTTGTGGCGCACGGGCTTAGTTGCTCCTCAGCATGTGGGATCTTCCTGGACCGGGGCTTGAACCCATGTCCCTTGCATTGGCAGGTGAATTCTTAAACACTGCGCCACCAGGGAAGTCCCAAGGTATAACATTCTTGAAATGACAAAATTATAAAGATGGAAAATAAGCAAATTAGTGGTTGTTGGGAGTTAGGGGTGTGTGTGTGTGTGTGTGTGTGTGTGTGCGCGCGCGTGTGTGTGTGTGTTACCATAATGGGATGGTAGGATATCTTAATGATGAGATAGTTCCACATCTTGATTGTGGTGCTGGTTACATGGATCTGCACATAGATTTGCATCATAGGTCTATGACATAGCATTACGTATATACATGCTGTACCAATGTTACATTACTGGTTTGGGTATTCTACTTTAATTATGTAATATGGGGGGAAACTGAGCAAAGGTTACACAGGACCTCTGTTCCCTTGCAGTTTCCTGTGAATCTACAAGTATTTCAAAATAAAAAATTTGAAAAAAGAACCCACAAGCTGTGTATGGATGGCAATGAGAAAAGTTAATTTTAAAAGCAAAAAAAAAAAAAAAAAAGAGGTAAAGGTAATAATCTACATTTTTGTTTACTTTATAATACTTATTATCAGATAATACATCTCTATATCTATCTACCTATAATATATCATATGATATAAGCAAATAACACATGGTTTTAAATTATCCCCAGGCCAGCATTTTTTGTTGTATTTATTATACTTGCTTGCTGTGGGAAGCTCCGCCGCCAGGTGCCTGCGAATTACATTCTTCTGGGATTATTTGTAAGTAAACCTCATTAGCATCCGTTGTCGTTCATCTCTGAAATATATTTTCATCACATTATTAAATTAATTCCATTTATTGTGGAAAATATTTCTGTGGAATAATACAGATAGAAATTATTTGTGAGACATTCTCTTGGATGAATTTTGAAGTCATAAACTTACTTATGACCTGGAATCCACACCCTTTTAACAAACTAGAGAATTTGGAGACCATGGGCTACTCCTCTGTGCCAGCAAACTTGCTTCTGAGAGGCCCACTCTGGAGTCTGGGCTACGTTTCAGGAACAGTTAACCTGACTGTCCTCTGTCAGAGAAAAAAACACATTTTGCTGTGGAGAGTGAGTTCACAAATTGTGTGCAAGAAATGTAATTTTCCTTATTTTTGTAAAATTTATTTTATTTCTATTTCAATGTGTCCTGACTCTATTGCAATTGAGGTTTCTGTTTATTAATGTTTATACCAGTCAAGCCAAACCTCTTGCCTCCTGGAAGCAGTGGACTCTCTGAAACTCACTGACAATAGTATTTGCTCCTCTTAGGAAAACCCAGAACAGAATCTCAGTATGATTTAGTGTTCTGGAAAGAAAGTCAGATTCTTTGCGATTGCTCCCATGAACTGCTGCCCACCCTTCCCTGTGAAGATTTACTTACCAATTCACTTGTTCCTCACCTGGTTCCATATCAGAGTTGAGGTAGCTTATAAAATATGCAAAATAGGCCTTCCCTGGTGGCGCAGTGGTTGAGAGTCCACCTGCCGATGCAGGGGACACGAGTTCGTGCCCCGGTCCGGGAAGATCCCACATGCCGAGGAGCGGCTGGGCCCGTGAGCCATGGCCGCTGAGCCTGCGCGTCCGGAGCCTGTGCTCCGCAACGTGAGAGGCCACAACAGTGAGTAGCCCGCGTACCGCAAAAAAAAAAAAAAAAAAAAAAAAGTATATATATATATATATATATATATATATATATATATATGCAAAATATAAGAAGATAAGATAAATTGGTGGGGAAATCTGATGGAAGGAAAATAAAGCCAGAGGTGAGATTCGTGCGCAAAATGCATAGTTCCACGCATTTGAGTGTGATGAGCCTAGATTTGGATCTGCGCCTCCTGGTGGTCAACGTGAGCAAGGACACACGGCCAAGGATGAGGTTCTCTGTGGGTACCACACAGCGTCCAGTGTGAATTATATGTCGGGAAGAACAGTTTCCTCATGACGCTGGAGAAGACTGTCCCTTTGATACCCACATTTGGGCATTTCTTCAGCTGACGGAGCATTGAGGGGCCTTTCTTAGTTGGTGTGGATACACTGCTCATTGTCCAGGTGAGCGAGTAGAGTCTCCCAGTTCCTCCACTTAACAGCAGAGACCACACTCAGAAGGGGTGGGAGTTAAAAGCCAGACATAGAAAGACACTGGGAATCCTGGGGAAGAGACGATGGGACAGGGAGAGGTATTTTTCCAGAAATTTTTGGATGTTTTCTTTTAACTTTTTCAATAGTTCTAATGTTTATTTCAAGAAGAGATCAAAGTTATTGATCTCAAAGGAAGCTCTCATCGCCAAGGTTTTGCTATTTATTTCTAAGCTGGTAACAGCCTAAGAGAAGAAATATTATAAAAGGGAAGGTCGAAAGCAAGTACATTGTTAAAATATCATGTGTACGTGGAATAGGTGCACTTAAAAAAAAAACCTGTAAGGTCAATAAAGACAGCTTACTTTGGTCCGTTGAACAAAGTAGAGAATCAGGCTTACCCACTGGGTTTGGGAGATCCAGAGAGGCAATCCGGGACTCCCGGGACTCTGGTTCTTTTCCAGTCTCCAATCCTGGACGTCATTAGCCAGCTGACGAAGTTCAAAGCCTCTCAGGCAGTCCTAGCACTGAGGATAGGATGTGTCCTCACATTTACTCCCAGAGACTAGAAGGTTCTTTCCTGGCTCTTGCCATGGACCAGCTAGTCTCTGGATCTGTCTCTGATGGAGCATACTACCAGCTGGGGAATGTCCTCAGGCCCTGCAGCCACTGCTGACTGTAGTTCTCACTGGCCTGCTGGCTGTCCTGGAGCCTGACTGTGGGCCTGGGCACGTCCTCATAGCCTTTTTGGTCTCATCCTCCAGCTTGACTGCCTTCTGGCTCTCATCCCCTCCCTCTCTCCCTCACTGCCCCATCCCTGGCTCCATTTGGACCATGGGAACCCTCCAGCCCCCATAGAGCCCCCATACAGACCCAATGCAGCCCCAGTGCAGCCCTCTTCAGAGCCCTGGATTGGCACCTACCAGTGCAGATCCATGCTTTGTAGGTGTGTCCTCCAGCTCATCCCCTCGTACTGAGGTCTCAATCCTCATTCCACGTCTGAGGTTTGAAGTATTTTATTCTCATCCAAGCACTATGGGAAAGGTCAGTACAGAAACCTTTGGTGGAGCGTCAGTAGAAATAGCATATCCTGCTCTGATAAAATGTTAAGATTCTGTGTGGATGGCCCTATTTGATTAATGACAATATGGTCTACAGATAAAGCTTTTACCTTGGTTTCCACATTCCTAATTAATACATATTTAAGTCGCTGAATACGTTGAAAGTTACTATTGTGTTCTAAGAAATATTTACACATGAAATAATTTTTTCTGTCGGTCTTGGGGAGAACGATAAGGAAATGTTTGTTTCTGTTATTTATTTCCCATATTCATAGCCTGTAGCTTTGTGCGCTGGGATCACACATATTCCCAATAGCTCACTAGACCCTGCCAGAATGCACAAACCTCAAAGCATCTCTTCTGGATTTTGGCCTTGGGATTCAGGCTTCTGATTTATTGTGATTTTTGTTTCTAGACAATACTCAAGGTCTGCTGCTAGGAACCGTGTCAGTGTAAGTCTTTGATACACATTTGTGTGTGTGTGTGTGCTTTTCTTTGAATGTTATGTGAACAATAATCAGTCTCTGGTTTTAGTTTCTATAATGCCGAGAAAGTGTTATGGGCAACGGCAGGAACCGCTCTAGAGACGATATCACTCACTTTATTTGCTCTTCAAACAAAAGTACGTATTATTGAAGCAGATTTCTGTCATAAGGGAGTGTGTGAATATGTTTCTTTGCCCCTCCTGACCCATTCTGCTCCTTCCTCCCTCGGGCTCTCAGCTTTCTGTGGGCCTCACTCCATGGAGTCCTTGCCTTCAGGCTTCTGGCTTTCCTAGTAACCATGTTTAAAAAGTAAAAGGAGACAGGTAAAATTAGTTTTAATAATATATTTCATTTAACCCAGTATATGTGAAGTGTTATCATTTTGACATGTAATCAGTATAGCAAAAATATTAATGAGATACCTTACATTCTTTATTTCGAAATTCAAACCCAGTGTGTATTTTATATTTGCAGCAATCTCAGTTTGAACTAACTGCATTTCCAGTGCTCAGTGGCCAAGTGTATTGAAAGCACAGCTCTAGACAAACTTTCTTAGCAGGCATCAGAGTCACCCGGAGAGCGTGTGGAACACAGAATTCACTCCTCCTGGAGTTGCTGCTTCACAATGTCTGGCATGGGGGCCGATAATTTATATTTCCCAGGCGCTGCTGATGCTTCCGGCCTGAGAACCAGACTTGGTGACCTGGTAGATTATTCTCTTGGTGTGGTAAGGGTAGGGAGTGAAATAGGAAAAATAGAGGAATTAGGAAAACACTCTTGCAAGAAAATACCTTGGATTCTTTTGCTTCCTAATCCATTCTTTTTTCAGGCCAGAAGATGAATATTCCTCTTTCTTTAAAAAAAATTCTAATCTTCCCTAGGCTGACTTGGTTACTGATTTATAGAAGCAAAACCAAAAAGCATATTAATAAATTTTAAGATTACAAAAGAATAATTAATAGTAATTTTTGAAAGCTTAGTATATGTATTTTTATTGAAATATATACATACAAATGTGAAAAAGGTACCCAGTTAACATCTTTGTCTATTTAATTCCATTAATATAGTCTATGCATATGCTTTTAAAAAATATGAATGATTATGATCATACTATACTTACAAATTTACATCCTGCTTATTCAGTACATTTTTTATTAGGGAAAATTTTATATAGATACAAAGATAGAATACTTTAATAAACTCCCATGTGCCCATTACCTAGTTTCAAAAATTATCAATTTGTGGCTCCTGTTATTTCATCCATATCTTACCCTTTTCTCCCTCCTGAAGAAATACAACACTTTGTATGTAGCATTTTTCATTGCTTAGGGGCTAATGGATTTCCATGGTTCTTGGGATTAGCCAGGGGAAATGATTAGCAAATGGGCCAGTTTGTGTCTAGCGGGTACACGATGCATCTCTAAACACCTTGAAATTGCTTATGGATGATAATTTAATTGGTTTTGTGTTGTTTCCTCAGTGCGATTTCACCTTGCTAAATGGAATGCTGTTTGTTTTACTCTTCGTACTTATTATCTATGGAATTCTCTTAATCTTCATACGATCATATGTAAGTGGGATCTCCTTTGTAAACCTCAGAGAATTGTTAGAATATAGGGTGAAGTGCTGGTTGTGTTGTTGGTCTGGATCCTCTGAGAAGCAGACACCAGATGGGTGAAACTTGCAAGGACTGTGATAGGAGAAATGTCTGTGGGAGAAAAGTGTGGCGGCAACAAAGGCTGGGAGAGCTGTCAGACCACGACAGCATATGTGACCCCAGGTTCAGGAGAGGGAAGGAAGGTGGGAGCACTCTGGATGTGGTGCCGTCAGGGGCTCCTGGAGCTAACGTGGACCATTACAGCAGTCCGGGGTCTCCCAGGAAGGTCCTGCTGCCCCCACCTGAGACGGTGAAGCGTGACCCAGGAGCAAACTACAGTGGGTTGCACCACACAGCCACCGGACCCTGGTCAGTTACATGCCCCTCCCCGTAGCTGGAGGTCTGTGAGGCCACCTGCTGCACCAGTTGTGGTAGGGGACCACTGACAGGAGGTCTGGGCATGAAGATTGAGCTCCGACCCTAGGCGACAGCTGCCCTCCCCTCAGAGGATCTTGGGGTGAACCACTGACAGACCCTTGTTCTAAGTATGTCCAACCTTGCTGGACTCTGGCAATTTTGAATCCCTCAGACTCCAGTTGTCAGCTGTTTTCTTACACCTAGCTCAGTCTGGAAACACTGTGCCTCCCTCTCTGTGTCACTGACTCCTGATTTCTCTCTTTCCTCAAGAACGTTCCCTGGTTAGCAGAGTGCTCCCCATGCCTCTAGGACTAGCTTTCTCCTCCTAAAGAGTGAACGCCATTATGCTTCTCAGATGTTATACACCACTTCCTTTTGCTCTTCTACAGCCAAACCCTTTGGCATTTAGGCCAATTTGTCACATATTCTGATCAGGGTTGTTCTGGTTGCAAGGAACACATACCCCTCAGACTAGGTCAAGGCAAAGACCCAGAGACTCTCATGGAGCTCCTAGGTGGGAAGAAGAGCCAGAATTCATGGAAAAGGAAACCCCACCTCCCTTTCTTGAACTGAGGTGATTGGCCATCTCTGCTTGTGTAGTAATATCTCCAGCACTAGCTAATGATAGAACTGCCGCCTGGATTCCTCTATCCTGAGAATTGATTTCTAACTGGCCTAGAGCATCTGTTTGATCCTGGTCACAGGGAAGAGGCTCTTGGTCGGTCAAGAGATTCACTGCTGTTGGAGTGTTATCATCCACCTCTTGTCAATTAGCTCTAGCAAGGCTGTGTGAGGGTCACTATGTTCCCTGAGCTGAGGGGAGGGCACATTCTCTTGAAGAACTATGTGGATGGGGCTTGCTGAATGGAATTGAGTGGATGCTGTTCACTATGTTCAAGAAAAGATTCTCTCCACAGCTTTGGCTTTCTTAATATCTTATCTAACAGCAGTGACCTAAGTGATCCCCTGAGTTGTTCCAAGTCATACTCTTAATATACAGTTGTTTCCTTTCTTTTTGCAGTGGTTGCATCTATTGTATGCTGGACTTGGTACTGTGATCTTCTCACTCGTAAGCGCATTTCTCCCTTTCTTTGACAAAGAGTATGGTATGTGCATTGATGGGGCCCTAAGCCCTCTGCTAGGCCTGGAGTCAAGTGGAGTCAGTAATTTACTGGAAAGCTCCCCAGGTCACTTGCTCCTTCCTCTGTCTTCTTGTCCTCCTCCTCCTCCTTTTTATTTTTTATAAAGACAATTCTTTTTAGAGCAGTTTTAGGTTCTTAGTAAAACCAAAAGAAGAGTACAGAGATTTCCCATATACTCCAGCCTCCATACACGCATGGCCTTCCCCATTATCAATATCCCCCACCAAAGTGGTACATTTATTACAATTGATGAACCTACATTGACATATCATAATCACCCAAAGTCCGTAGTCTACATTAAGGCTCACTCTTGGTGTTGTACCTTCTATGGGTTTGGACAAATGTATAATGATATGTGTCCATCATTGTAATATCATACAGAATATTTTCACTGCTCAAAAAATCCTCTTTGTTCTACCAGTTGATCCCTCCCCATCCCCAACCCCTGGCAACCACTAATTTTCTTACTGTTTCCAAGTTTTGCCTTTTCCAGAATGTCATAGAGTAGGAATCATACAATATTAAGCCTTTTCAAATTGGCTTCTTTTACTTAGTATTTGCACTTAAGATTCCTCCATGTCTTTTCATGGCTTGGTAGGTCATTTCTTTTTAGTGTTGAATAATAGTCCACCATCTTGATGTACCACAGTTAATTTATTCATTCACCTACTGAGGTGAATCTTGTTTGCTCTCAAGTTTTGGCAATTATGAATAAATCTGCTATAAACATCCATGTGCAGGTTTTTGTGCGGACAGATGATTTCAACTCCTTTGGGTAGATACCAAGGAGCATGTTCACTGGATCATACAGTAAGAGTATGTTTAGTTTTGTAAGACTGTATTCCAAAGTGGTTGTAATACTTTGTATTCTCACTAGCAGTGTATGAGAGTTCCTGTTGCTCCATGTCCTCACCAGCATTTGGTATTGTCAGTGTTCCAGAATTTGGCCATTCTAATAGGTGTGTAGTGGTATCTTATTGTAATTTTTTTTTTTTTTTTTTTTTTTTTTGTGGTGCGCCGGCCTCTCACTGTTGTGGCCTCTCCCGTTGCGGAGCACAGGCTCCGGACGCGCAGGCTCAGCGGCCATGGCTCACGGGCCCAGCCGCTCCGTGGCACGTGGGATCTTCCCGGACCGGGGCACGAACCTGTGTCCCCTGCATCAGCAGGCGGACTCTCAACCACTGCGCCACCAGGGAAGCCCTTATTGTAATTTTAATTTGCATTTCCCTGATGATATATGATGTAGAACATCTTTTCATATGCTTACTTGCCATTTGTATATCTTCTTTGGTGAAGTGTCTGTTAAGTTCTTGGGCCCATTTTGTAATCAACTTGTTTGTTTTCTTATTGTTGAGTTTTAAGAGTTCTTTGTATATTTAGGAGAACTGTCCTTTATCAGGTATTTCTTTTGTAAATATTTTCTCCCAGTCTGTGGCTTGTATTATCATTATCTTCACACTGTCTTTCACAGAGCAGACATTTTTAATTTTAATGAAGTCTAGTTTATCCACTCTTTCTTTCATGGATCATACTTTTGGTGTCATATCTAAAAAAATCATCACCACACCCAAGGTCATCTAGGTTTTCTCCTATGTTATCTTCTAGGAGTTTTATGTTTTACATTTAAGTCTATGATTCATTATGAGTTATTTTGTGAAAGGTGTAAGATCTGTGTCTAGATTCATGTTTTTGGCATGTGGATGTCCAGTTGTTTCAGCACCATTTGTTGAAGAGACTATGTTTACTCCGTTGTATTGCCTTTGCTCTTTATTCTGTCCTGTTGATCTATTTGTTTAATCTTTTCACCAATACCACACTATCTTGATTACTGTAGCTTTATAGTAAATCTTGTTGTCTGGTAGCATCAGTCCTCCAACTTTGTTCTTTTCCTTCAGTATTGTATTGGCTATTCTGGGTCTTTTGTCTCTCCATATGGTTTGTCAATATCCACAAAATAACTTGCTGGGATTTTGATTGGGATTGTGTTGAATCTATAGATCAAGTTGGGAAGAACTGATATTTTGTAAATAGTGAGTCTTCCTATCCATGAACATGGAATGTCTCTCCATTTATTTAGTTCTTCCTTGATCTCATTCATCAGAGATTTATAGTTTTCCTCATATAGTTCTTGTACATATTTTGTTAGACTTATACCTAAGTATTTAAGTTTTTTGGATGCTAATGTGAATGGTATTGTGTTTTTAATTTCCAATTTCACTTATACATTGCTGCATATAGGAAAGTAATTGACTGTTGTATAGTAACTTTGCATCCTACAACCTTGTGATAATTGCTTATTGAACCCTCAGATGCTCCTGGGGCTTCTAATCCTGACCAGGGCTTCCCTGTGGGCTGTCTGTCTCTTGCATGGTGTCCTGAGCCCTCTTCCCCTGGGGTTGGGGGGAAGACAGCTGGATCCCATCTCACCTTACTCTCCCACTTTCCTGTCTGCCTTCAAACATATAACCTCACCTGAGAGGTGCACTCCTAACCGCCAATACATGAAATGATTAGGAGTCATTATCTCTCTTGTAAGAAGAAATAAGATAAAGTCAGGGGTTCTTGGAGGGGAGGAAGAAAGAAAAGCACTTTTCCACAGAAGGACTCCAGGGTGACAGATGGAGGCTAAGAGCAAGGCTGGAAGCTCAGCTGCTGGAGGCCTTTTTTAAAGGATGACCAACTGTCCTCATTTCCCTGGGACTGAGGGGTTTCTGAAGACACACAAAAGTCCTGGGCAAACTGGAATGGTTGGTCATTCTAGCTTTTTCTGCCACAGAGTTACTGGAATCAGACATAGGGAGAGGGAGGATAAGTGGGAAGGGACTTAGTGGTCCAGGTGAAGCAGCCGCTTTGGCAACCCCCAGACTTGGGTTTGACTCTCTTCTCTGCCACCTGCTACAGTGTGATCTTCCCTTCCTGGAGGCTCTGTTAACCTCACCTGCCTCAACTGGGTCATTCCCATATTACATGAGATGACATCTATCATGAACTGATACGAGGCTACCCAGAAGGTGCCCCATTCTTTTCCTCCTGTTTCTTTCCTCCCTTTCTCCTCATTCTTAGAAGGCTGAGTGGGAACCAGGACACAGGGAGAGCTGATACCTGAATTACTTGGGACAGGTTTCCCTGTAGTGGATGTTGTTCTAAAATGGATTATTTTAAAGAGTCTTTAAAACCCCAAGAATTCTTTGTAATGCCAGGGTTGACCTGTCTGATGCGGCTCTGCCTCACAGCACTAGACTCTTAGTGTACAGGCTGGATATAAAGACCTGAGGAGCAGCTTGTTTTCTTTTCCTCCTTCTAATGCACTTGTGCTGCCCACATCTGCTCACTTTGCAACAAACACAAGGGTGAGAGGGCTCTCTGACTTTTTTTCTTGATGCTTTAGAAGCTCATAATTTTACCTACTGCAGCTGAGCTAAAACATTTAATTGGGGTTTATTTAACCATATATGAGTCTTCTCATTCTATTTTGAAATACTGACATCGTCACAAAGCCATCTCCAATGTCAAGTTTTGAAAAATGCTATCACCCAAAGGAAAGTTCAGAATTATTGCTGTGGGTGAATCTAAATGTTGGGGAACCATCTTTATTTTCATTCTTTTTTTCAGTGAGAACACGTGGGAAAATCACAAACACAGGGCATTTTGTAGTTTCTCTCTGTGTCCAATCTGCCCACCTGGTCTACATCATTGGCTAAAGGCACAGAGCTTTCTGGACTTGGAAGGAAAGGAAAGTAAGGCTCACATATTTGGTCCCACTGGCTTCAGGAGAATGAAACACTTGCTTTAATAGATAAAGCATAAACTTGGGGACATCATGAATGATTGAGGCTGTAAGAATAATATCTATAGCCACAAATTTACTCTCTGTGATGTATTTACTGATGGGAAATAATTTTTCCAGATAATTTTAGGATACTTATTTGATAGAAATGTACAACTTAAGTAGCTAATTCTTCTTTCTTTTCTTTAAGTACTTGGTGATGGATGGGAGGTGATGGTGGGAGGGCGCCATCATCATTCTGACCTGGACCCTGAAGAGTATGTTTTTGCTGCCCTGAACATCTACATGGACATAATCAACCTTTTCCTTTTTATTTTGCAACTGATTGGACTGGGACGGTAGTCATACGGCCAAGCCTGGCTCGTGCTGAAAAGAGGGAAGGAGGGATGTCTGTGAAGACATACAGAGGTTACCACACCATAAGCCCTTCTATTTTAAAATACTTAATTTTTTTGTCAAATGACAGTGAGCATTCAGTAAATGTTAGCTGTAGCTGTTAGATATTTTTAGTTCCACTGTCACATTGCAAAACTTTCTGGCGGACGTTTCTGATTTTTATAAATTCAAAAGGTGAGCTACATAACTACATATTTACAAACATTTGTAAGATGCTCATTACTTTGTGGAAGTTTTCCAGGCACTATTTAAAGCTGTAAGCAACATCCCTCTACGTGAATAAAACTGATTACTGAAACCCATATTTACTCCATCCTCTTCTCTTGATTTGGACATTTGGTGGGAATATTTTGGCATCTGACTTTTTTTAAGAGTAAGAGAAACTATAAAGAATTCTGCCTTTCTCTTGGATTCCAGAGTCAGACTGGAGAAGTAAATTCTATCTTGGGAGATCTCTGTTTCTATCTCAAACTATCTGTGTGCTCCAAGGGGAGCCTTTTGGGTCTGAACCACTTCAGTGTCTGGCAGGAAGATAAGAAGGGGCCATTTCCAGCATGGATGAATTGTGCAGGGGGGAGGATGGGGAAATTAGATGAACTCTTCTGGTCTCTCTAGTATTTATCATAGAGCTTTATTTCAAAATTTAACTGAACATACAGATCTCAAGTAAGACATATGGACTTAAGTACAAACAATATAGTCACATACATCTACCTGACTTTTTGATTACATATTTCAGATTAGCCATATCTCCACTATTTTAGTAGAGTTTCTTCATTGTGTTTATGATCTCTTATTACTACCAGTAAAATCCTGAAGATGGGCGTAACCTCTGAAATGTGAGCAAGTGGAAGAGAAAGGGACTTTTCAGCCACCCAGCAAAAAATCTAGGAGGACCCTCTAAAGCTCCTGGGTCAGGATATCTTAAAAAACATCACCATCTGTACATACACCTGCCAAAGTCATGGTGAATTAATTCCATACAAGAAAGCAAATTCAGCTGGGAAGCTTGAGATTTTGCATATTCTTTTGGCATCAAGACAACCTTCCTGCATATAATAGGGACACACTGGCCAATCTGTTTCTCCATTGAAGTTTCTGCCATCCCCACACCACATTAGGCATTTCTCTTGTCTCAGCAATGCTCCCAGCCACACACAGCCCACTGTGAGTCTATTGTATGTGCCATCATACAGCAGTGCTGACTTGATTAAAAGAAATTCTACTGCTTCTATGACAACCTTTTGATTTCTGCATTTAGTAAGGACTCTGAGAAAGACATACCTTTTACGGTCAGTCTATCAAATGAGTAGATTACTTTGTTCTCAGTGACAGAAATTCACCTTTTGAGAAGAGAGTCCACGATTTGAAAATCTGTCAGGAGTGGTCCCAAATCCAGTGATGGGTAGCACATCTGTAAATCAATCCAAGATGTCCACAATGGGGCAATCGAAACTTAAAGAAAAAGAATCCATAGAAAAATTTAGGTTATACTTTCTATAATGCTCACAAATCCTGGGCCTATAAGTTACTTTTTTCTTATTCCAAATGGGTATTCCCTCATCCAGCTTTAGGCATGGTTTGCTGAGCAAATCTATCTATACACAAGTGGACCCTAGTGAAACTACTCATGTTAAAGGCTAGTAAGCAGTTAGCCATGGCCTTTTTAAAATCAGTATGCCACTTTGCACTCATAGGTTCAAAGAATATCAATGGCCAAAATGTTGTGGCATATGTTTGACATTACTATCAAGACGAATGTTGGCAGTTTCAGTATCTTTTGCTTAATCAAATTCCTTGAAACAGATCAATCAACTGCTGAAGTTGTCATCAATGGTTTCCAAGTCATAGCACTATTGATAGCTTGTAATGCACTAAGATAACATTTATCTGATTGTTGCTGTAAAGCAAGGGTCAGCAAACATACGACACACACCAAATTTAGCCTGCTATCATTTCATTTTTTAAAATTTTGTTTTGAATTATAGATTCACAGGACGTTGCAAAGATAATTCAGAGAGGCCATGTGTACTCTTTACCCAGTTACCCCCAATGGTTATCTCTTACATAATGTACAATACCAAAACCAGGATACTGACATTGTGTACAATATATATGTATATTTCTGTCATTTTATCACATGTAAATTCATGTAACCCCCATTGTAACCAAGATACAGACAGTTGCATCACCACAAAAATGTCCCTTTTTCTACCCCTTTATAGCCACACACATACACCTCTCTTCCCCCCAACATCCCTAACTCCTGATAACCACTAATTTGTTTCCATCACTATTACTGTCATTTAAAAAATGTTAAATGGATGAAATCATACAGGACGTGACATTTTGAGATTGGATTTTTTTCACTCAGCATAATGCCCTTGAGATCCATCCAAGTTGTTGGAATTTGTGTCACTAGTTCACTCCTTTTATTGCTGAGTAGTATTCCATTGCATGGATATATCACAGTTAATCATTCCCTTACTACAGGACATTTTGGTAGATTCCAGTTTTTGGCATAAAGCTGCTATGAACAATTGTGTGCAGGTTTTTGTGGACCTAAATTTTCACTTCTCTGTGATAAATGTCTAGGAGTGCAAATGCTCGGTCATATGGTTAGTATATGCTTAGTTTTTAAAGAAACTACTCAACTATCTTCCAGGGTGGCTGTATCACTTTACATTCCCACAGGCAGTGTATGAATGACCCAGCTTCTCTGCAACCCTGGCAGCATTTGGTGTTGATGCTACTAATCATTTTAGCCATCCCGATAGGTGTGTAGTGTTTTGCTGTGATTTAAATTTGTATTTCCTAATGGATAGTGATGTTAAACAACTTTTCATGTGCTTATTTGTTTGCCATACATCCTCTTTGGTGAAATGTTTCTTCATGTCTTTTGTCCATTTTATATTGGATTGTCTGTCTTCTGTTTAGTTTTGAGAGTTCTTTATATATTCTATATATGTGGTTTGCAAATATTTCCTCCCAGTCTGTAGCTTGTCTTTTCACCTTCTTCATTAGGTCTTCTGCAGAACAAAGCTTTAAATTTTGAAGACGTCCAATTTATCAATTTTTTCTTTTATGGATCATGCTTTTGGTATCAAGTGTACTTTTTCTTTTCCAAAATAGTTTTAGCTGTTTTAGTTCCTTTGCCTTTCCATATTTTTAGAATATTTCTAAATTTTAGAATTATCTATAGCTATAAGAAAATGTTGCTGGGATTTGGTAAAGTTGCTGCCAAGCAATTGAACCAAACCCGGGCATTCTGTGAACTGAGACACCCCCACACACACCTCCCACTAAGCCAGTGGCTTTGCTTTAGGCAGTGAAGATATACACAAAATATCCCCCAAAGGTAGCTACTAATTTTTCATGTAGAATTAAGATACTTGCTGCTACAGTCAGGCTAGCTGTGATCTCTAATATACCATTTGTTGGACTTGCAAGGCCTGTTGGGCCCATGTTAATTCTCCAGTGCCAGGTGACCCACCCTGAAGTGGAGATGTCACATCAGTGAGTCCCAAGGCTTCCATGGGTCAGGCATTCAGTTTCAAGAAGAGCCTAGGAGCCAGTTAATAGCTGCCTTTCTCCAAAATGGTGTACTAGGTGGCTGCGTCAGGCAGGTGGCAGTGTTGTGCTGGGAAATGGCTTAAGCACTTGGGCTGCCACCAAGTCTTTAACACATGGAATGATTTTACTTTCTCCTCTTGGAACTCTACATTGTTTCTGTTGACCACCAGAGAGGGGACAAAGAGGCAGAATGGCGAGTAATTTATGCTCCACTCTAACCTCTCTACATGTAGCAGTCCCTACTGGGAGATGCCCCACCGATAATTATGAGACAGGTAACTGTGGGCACATAATCGTCAATTCCATTAAACATTCAGATTTGGGAGCTGCATTATATTCAATCAGCCAAAGGGCCCCACCCACAAGGGAAGCCTCCCTTCCCCTCTATGGAGTGTGTCCAAATTCCTTTCTCCCGGCTGAATAGTCTAAAGTGCGTGAGTCACGAGCTACATACATCAGGTGGCAAAAGGATGCCGGATCACCTTGTCCCTCAGCTGAGAGGGTAAGGAGCCCAAGAGATGGGGGAGGCAGGTCTGTGGGGAGTACACTTAATTGTTGGCCTGTTATCCCGCCCTTAGCCCCTCGCTCCAGGGCCAGTGCCTGAACACTGGCGCCAATACTTCTCCTACAACAGTGGTGACGCATGTCAACATGCAGAGAGAACAGGGCCCACGGGCTTCTTTCTTCCCCACATACACCTCCGCAATTACCTGGAGTCCTTGGCACCTTCTGTCCCTCCTGCACCCAGCGCTTCATCCTCAGGTCCTCACTGCCGTCAGGGGTCATGGGCCAGGGCATAAGGGTAGCCTGATCTGCACTTGTGGGCAAGGCTTTGCAGTCACTTTTGCATCTGAACAGTGCTGGACTGCTTGTAGCCCAACCACATGAACTTCTCATGTTTTTGGTCCACTCAAAGTTCTCAATCAAAGAGCACGGTTCTTACTGCTGATTAGTTCACATCTGGGGGCTCCCTGATTCAGCAGCCACAGCCATACTGCCTTTCAGGTAGGGCCACAAGAATTGCTGTTTTGTCATGAAAACTTTCTTCCCTGACTGCCTGCAGGAGTTAGCAACAATCAAGGCACCATTCCCACAGGACAGCTTGTTTCAACCCTACTTCTTTTCGTTAAGCCTGTAAACATTAGCTCAACTCCTGTTGAGTAAAAGGTAGGACAGCGGGAGCCCTTATCCTTCCCCCACCTCTTAGCTATCTCTTGAGTGAGAGCATTCATTACCAGCCAGATTCCAGGGAGTCTTACATTCTCAAACCTGGCCCAACGGTTCCTCTTCTACAAAATCATGTCTCTTTCAGCATTCCATTCCTCGCTGCCAAAATTGTCAAATCTGGGATTTGATTTTATCCAGTAAGTTAGCCTGTCAGAGTTTCGTGGATGCTGACAGAAGACACAAGACCCTGGGTCAGAGGCAAAGACCTTTATCACTCAGGGCACAGCATGCAGAATGCATGTCAGCATACTTGTGCCAGTTCCTCAAGTCCCCAGTTCCACAGGGGCAACACAATGGGTCTAGATGAATGCCAAGTGTGCAGGGGGTTTGTGTCGCAGCCGTGGAACAGTGTGAGGAATCCAACGCGTCGACAGCAAGCCTGCTCTTTGTCCTCAAGCTTACTACATAAATCCTGAGGAGTGGTCCAGGCAAAACTCTTGTCAGGGCTTGCAGTCTTAGCACCCTGAGCAAGCACATAAGAAGCCCAGGAGAACTGGACTGTCTCATCTAATAACTATCCTTCTCTATATTGTATTTTCTTCACTCCTTCATGAATATCTCTCTCAGCCTGTCTGTAAACTGATGCCTCGTGCAGGCTAGGCCATTATGCAACGGCTGGCTAAGAGATGATATATAGTCTGATCAGGAATATTTTCAAATTACAGTTTTAAAGACAAAAGAAGAAGAATTTCTTCAAAAGTTTCGCCATCACTAAGTTTGTCAGCCACCTGTCAGTCCTAAGTGCAACAGAGAGCTAAATTTGGGAAACTTTTCTGGTCCATCTTTCTTTAAGAAGTACGACTACTCCCAGTTCCTAAAATAATGACAGTCATGTAATAATGTAGAGAGAGACACTTACATCTTTCTATAAAGAAATCTATTCTAGAGAGAAGGGGATAATGATTGACAAGGCAGTAACATACTGTTGCTAAGGTGATGACCTAGGAACTATGCCCATAGTCCAGGGCTGAGATACTACTACTCAGCCCAAGAGCCAAGCACATGAACACTTTTCTCCTATGGAGTTTTTGTTTCAGCCTTAAAAGAAAGAAAAAAAAAAACCCAAATTTGTATTATCATGTAATATTTAGATTCCAAGATTTTACTCTTTAGTGATTTACTAACTATAACTTTTAAAATTATGACCAAACTTCAATAAGTCTCAGATTTTAATTCATAATAGGTAAGCAACAATATTTGAGGACTAAAAAGGGAAGAAAAATGAGATCAGTGGCTGCAATAAACATGCATACGGACATTGGAGCTAAGCTTGAGATCCACACAATGAAAGGCACAAATAAGACTACAACTCTTGGTGGTTATCACGGGCACATCCTGTGAAGCACCAGCCGGTGGCCTGGAACTTGTGCCTGTGCACATTGAAGTACAGATGCCGAGGGCTGTTGTAATAACTCAGATGGGAACAAATAACAAAATGATTGAGAAGCAGGCATTTCTATTCATATGGCATAAGAAATTTTCCTATCCTAAGCAATTTCACAAAATATCTTAAAATTCTATTTTTCTGTATGTTTCTATTAGAGATTTCAAGGAAAAATCACAACACTTTTCTTCTGAAATCTACAGTGATAAAAAATAATGATTGTTGTGTTTTAACGCATTGTCATGCAATGTTTTGGACTTATCTCTGGGGTATAAAATGCTCAGTAAGTGGGCTAGTGTAAAAAATATTAGGAATTAATCTATTACATGTAAGAACCAAATCAATCCCATCATACTGGAGGGAATTTAACTTGAAAAAGATCAGCTTCCTGACTTGGTTAAACAAAGTCTATAATGTAATGAGACAAAAGTGAAGTAGTTTAAGTAATAAATGTTTAATCAAAGAATTTTACATATTATTAACAGCATTCATTTGGCTAAACATCTACACGTTTGTAGAATCCTACTGTATATAAAGTGGGAATGTATCAAGTATAGACTATGAAAGTGCAAATAACAAGTCAAGGTTAGAGTAATTTTTTTTTTTTTACATTATAAAATTAACTTGTTTACAAAATAGGCTTTGCCAAACTTTATTTGCGAATTGTAAAGTCAATGACTATGTTTTTAAAATATGTACCAAGGAAATACAAATTGGATAATGATCGTTTTCATGCTCAGGAGAGAACACCACAGAAACACAGGGTACTGCACAAGTGAGAGGAACCAGAACCCACGGCTGTACTGTCTGCACAAAGGGCACTCTTTCTCACCTTACTGCAGCTCTGCAAGGCGCCTCAATGTGATACAAAGACTCTTTCTATTGAAAAATTAAAACTTGATCTAAAAACTGATTGGTGTTGATATTTTCAACCCAAAATAAATTTGTAAAAAAATCCTTTAATGGACTATTTCAGTTTAATATACAGTAATACACTGCAGATAAACCTAATATTTTCCCCAACTAATTTTAAAAGGGATTGATATCAGTGTTTCTGATAATTGGGGATATAAAAACTAATGTGGACTTCTGATATCCATGGCAAAGGAGCAATTCCCACACAGTTTATCCTAAGGGAATAGGGGAATATTAAATACTCTAATATAATGTCTGAGCCATACGGTTTAAAGTACAAGAAAATTTCAAAAGCGGGGTTTGGGAAAAAAAGTAATCGAAAACCACAATTACAACTCATGTGGATATAAATACTAATATAACCTTTTACCCAGCCCAGGACTTGCCTGTACAAACTTGGTACTGAAATTTTGGTATCTGTAGATTTCTGATAAGAATCTGGCAAAACATTAAATGGACTATTACGTATCTATTTTGCTTATGTTACGCTAGTTTTGATAATATGTAAGTAAAACAGCCATTCCAACAGTTTATTCTAGTTTTAATTACACACTGTACCATTGTATCTTAATTACAACTAGGACCAGTATTTTCTTCACAGTAAGACACTGATAACTAGGAAGTTGATTTTTTTTCAACACTAAACAGTAATCACACAGCAAATGAGTATTGTGCAATACAACAAACACGTCAGCATTTGCGATTTAGGCAAACAAACTGATTGAACATTTAGTTGTTATATTTACTGTAAAGGCAAGGCCATGGGTGGTTTTATGGAGGTCTTTGCAATTCACACAGCATAGTTACTTCGGAAGAGACACTGAAATCTGAATTACTTAACTGGCAACTATCCATTTAGGTTAGGCAAAGGCACGGTAACATGTTGCGCAGGATGTTTTATTGAGTTTTTTAATAATTGTGGGATTTACTATAACTCATGAAAACTCCACTTTTTTTCTATTTTATAAAACACTTACCATTAAAAGTAATTGCACCCATTAGTAATTAGAATGCACTGTAAAATTGTGAAAACAAAGAACTATGATTGCACTTCCAATAAAGTGTCTCTTAAAATACAGCACCGCTGTTGCTAATCAACTGTACTTTAATATTAAAATAAACTGTATTTAACAGCAGCATTAGATTTTGTTAACTTAAGCTACAGGCTACATTTATTTAAATGCAGTCTCCATGGCAACAAAAGCCCATTAAACTCTGGAATATCATTGCTACCAAGTGGCACCTTTTACTTCTGAGAAGGCTGAGACTGCTCTGGAGCCCTCCAGGACACCGCACACCTGAACGCCTTGTTAGCGCACGAGTCAGAGTTTGGCACAAGTGGACTATAAATAGACATGAAAAGAGATCTTTGATTCATGTGAAAATTAAAATGAATTACACTGTGGTAGATGCTGCACTAAAGAGAAGCCTTGGATACCTCAATTCACACTGCTCAGACAAAAAGGAAGAAAGAAAATTACGGAAGAGCACGAAGAAATTGAGGAATGAAATGTTATTAGATCTGTCCAAAATAACTTCTAAAATGAAGAAAACTTTCATTCTTTTAAAAAGGAAAAACCACCCAAGGATTGGAGAGTAAGCCTTTAATTTAAATGTTCAATTTAAGTATTGCTGACCTTAGGCTAAACAGAGGACTGCATTTTCTTAAAATGTGGAATCTAACCTATTTATTTCATTTGTGTTTCTCTCTCCCACTCTTCTGTTCGTCAGCAAAAAGGGGAAAAGCTATCCAATTAAATACAAAAGAAATTAATTCCCTGTAAGGTTAAAATCAGAAATGAAGCTACCATTCAAGGGAACTCCTTTGTATTTAATTCTAATGTCAGTGGTTTATAATTGTTGGAATTAAGTGGATCAAATCTCTATAAAGCATATTCCACTAGCATACCATCTGTACCTGCAATTGATTTAGAGCCCCGAGGTGTGCAGCTCACACTAAATGTACTTGTTCAGGCCAGTCACTTGAGGTTTGAGGTGTTTGACTTGAAACATCAGAACCATCCCCCTTGTTGGCTGCCTCATTACCACTGTCGCCAGCTTGAGATGCTGTTTCCCCAGCCAGAATGTTTCCTTCCAAAGGATTTTCTTCTTCTATTTGGGTTCCTCTACCTTCACTGACCACAGCATCTTCAAACACTGAATCTTCTGGCAGCATCAGTTCCACATCCCTCACACCTTCTGACTCATCTTTGACACAGGGGAGCTGGGAATCTGCACTGATTTCTGTAGCTGCTGGAGGAATCAGGGCGATACTCTGAGGGTTCATGTCATGAAACCAAGCCATAATATTGCCAAGAAGATTGTCATTGATGTTGGCGTCCTGGCCAGCTGAGTCAGGGTCACTGGATGAGGGATAGAATTCACTTCTCACCTCACTGAGAGGGTGTGAACTCAGGGTGTCAGTTGAAAATGGGTCACTTTCTGCTCCTAGTCTCATGAGGCTGTTACCAAGTTCCAACAGCTCAGAACTGCTCAACGCAGCCCGAGGGCTATCTGTGTTCCTGGGGACGGAGTCCAGCCTGGAAGGTAAAGAGGTGCCTATCGCTCCTAATGATGCTTCATTACTGAGAAAGTCTCTATTTTCTTCATTGATGGCTAGCCCAGATTCTTGCAGAGATAACTGTATTGCAAGAAGTATATTGGGATCGTCTTCATCCAAGGAACTCAGAGCCTGAGGCAACAGAAAGTAAAATTACTTTAAAATTTAAAAGGAAAAATGATTGAACCCAGTGAGGTCTACCACTGTTCTTTTACCAAACAGATAATTAATAGTACCTGTATTTATACAGAAGAATTATCTGACCTACTCAAATCTTATTCTAATTTTCCCCTTGTGGATGCTAAAGGGAAAAAAATTTACTTAAGGTAAATCTGAAATAGAAGAATCTTTCCCTATAGTACATCTCTGAAGCAAAGATTTTAGAATGGAAGGAAGGAAAAGGAAAGCAACAGAAGTAAAAATAGGAAGCCAGGCTAAACAGAGAAAGAGCAAAAGCAGGGGCAACGAGGCTGCCCAGAAAGGCTACCTGAAGAGAGTCCTGGTTCTCAGAGTGACTGGCGGGGGTGTAGTCGTGCAGAGAAGAGCTGTGCAGTGCGCTCATAGACGCAGAACTTACCACGGAGGTGCCAGGCCTGTGGCCACCGCCACCTTCCGGGATATCTGTTTCAAAGCAAGTGGTGCCAGAGATAATTTAGTCATACAAGATCTCATACA